CTTTCCCTAAAGGCTTAGTGCATTGACTGTCACTGCAGAAAGAAGCCTTTGGACTACATGCCATCTTTTCACTGCTTGCTGATTGAGCAACTGCATCTGACAGAGCTTTTCTGTCTTTTCTAGCTGTTCTGAAAAATCCTCATACCCAAATGGGAAGCAGGTATTTGGGCTACATATTGGAAACAAATCTCAACAGTCAGAGGAACCAGATGTATCAGATGCTTGTAAGCAGATGAAAACATGATGATTCAGGGAATCAGCTGTGAACCACATCCCAGTTTTCTAAAATATATATTTCTTTGTGTGTCAGAATTGTTACCTTCCCCATCGAATCCCTGTACTACAAAAACAAAGGGTTTAAGATGGATTTACACAGAAGCTAGCACACGTCAGTGGGATTTTACATTACTGTTTGATCTCTTTTCTCCCTCTCAGGATTTTCCTTAAGGAGATAGAAAATTGCATTGAAAACCCTGAGCTTCTTGCCCGATGCTTTTTGAAAAGAGTAAGTAAATCCTTTTGCAGGTTTGTATGAATATCTCTGATAATGTCCTACAGTATTTACAGATTTACTCCTATCCTTTCACTCCAAGTCCTTTTCTGAATGAAACTCCCATGAAGAGATATTCCCAAATTAAGCCACAGGTAACAAGCATATATTCTGAAATCTGGGTCTTTAACTGGTTTACTGACAGGAAGAGATCAGTTACCAGTGTATTACCATGTATTTTAAGCCCTGTTTTAAAGAAAAAAAAACCCAACAAATAACAGTGATCCGAATGTTTAACATGCTTTTCATATCAGACAAATCTATACCAGCAGCCTGATGTAACCCAGACACCACCCTGCAGTAAACAGAGAAAACTGAATCCCAGCAGGTTACTCTGAGTACAGACAACACATCCTGTTCCTGCCTTATCTTATCTCTCTTCTCTGCACCATCCATGCTGGACACTTACTCCCCCAGAACTGGCCCAGCAGAGTCTGCTGAGGTCTTTGCATGGTGAAACCTCACCATTTCATAACACTCTGTGAGGTCAATTCCCTTACTTGTTCACATAATTCAACGAGTGGGATTCTCCCCACTTGTATGAAGGGGTGAGGGTTGGCTGTTTGTTTAAAAGTACAGCAAGCTCAGTTTCTGAGAAAGTCCTGAGCCAACAGGCAGTGGTGACTTTGTCAGATGCGTGTGTCCTTGCTCCCTGTGTCTCTCTGTGCCTAAGTTCTGCAGCTCTCTCTTCTGAGAGCTCCCAGTCTTGTCCCTCCTCCACCACCACCCCCAGCTAGCCTGACTGTTAGTTCTGTTTCCTGCAGCACAACCAAAGGTGCTTGATTATACAGCAGTCATTCAGGGGCTCTACTAATGAGTAAAAATCTGTTTTGGTGGGTTGCTACCGTTTTCAGAGTCTGACTAAACTGCTTGAATAAGACTCTGTCTTGCACAGGAAATGGAAGTGGCATGAGAAATGAGAAATTCTGTCCACTGTAGTCAAAGGTGCCTCCTGCTTCTACTGTCTACTGCATCTAGCATTTGCTGCTTTTCAGGGTACACATTAAATACAAATAGATTTGGATGAACCAGTCAGAGGTGTTGAGCACTGCCACATCACTAAGATTTCAATGGGAATTACAAACATGTGGTACTTGCAAAGGGTATGCCCCCAATTTACAAATGAGTCAGGCCAAAAAGCATCATAGGAGTGTAAATGTGATTATAAGTCCACTGAGTGATTTTCTGTTAAACAGCAAAGCATTTAGTGCTTGGGTAAATTACATTACTAAGGAATATGTTGTTATCCTAAGATTCAGATGCTGAGCAGGAAAATGTTGTGGTGAAATCATTATGCAAAAGAGGATAAACAGTCTTTGAAGAACGCAGACCTTTGAAATCCAAGAAGCATGAAATAGTCCATGTGTTGCAAATATCCCTGGGTTTACAGCTGAAGAAAAATTCTTGATATAGAATTGATCCTATAATTCTGCAAAAAGTTCGAATTCCATATTTAAATATTGTAGCTTAGGTCTCCCTCTGTAAAAACAGCTGTTGAGCCCAACTCTTGATACTACCAATATGAAGCAGCACTAAAGCTGTAGTTAGGAGTGAAGTGAAAGAATATCAGTCCCTCTATCATCTTTGCTTATCAGTTTCTGTGGCCTAGTCAAACCACACTAAATCTGTCAAATAAGAGGTTAAATCATGCATTTGCTTTCTCCCTATTTCAATTTCACACTAAGAAAGCACAAGCTTCTCTCTTGAGATGTCTCTGCTCACACAGTAGCACCTTTGATTCGAGAACTTGCCCTTATGTTCTGTTTTTAGAAGAAGCCACATAAAGTCCAGAAATGTGTTGTTACTGTTGGACTGCATTTAGGAGGCACAAACAAAAGTCTGGTTGTGTGTTTGTGTTCCCCATG